TTTCGTCTCCGTCGAAGACCAGGCGGGACCATCTACCTGTACGCTCCATTCTGTCTTTGGGCGTTAGCCGTTAGCACCGGGTTAGCACTTACTGAGCTCGCAGTTCGTCGCGACTTTTACTTCTCAGCGTCCTCCAGTCTCTCTCTGAGGCTTCCTGGGCCCATAACCTGTTGTCAGAATTCGCTACGCAGCAGCCCAGTGTGAGCCTCCTTTAGCACTGTGCGAGAAAAAGACGAGCAGTCCACACAGATTCATTTCACACAAGCAAGGTGCCATGGTTTATTTAGGGCGGGGTTAAATAAGGTCCGGCCGTGACGTCATCAATCAATAAACAAATAATGCATTCAGAGCATAACAGAAAATACAATACAATTAACACATTTAAATAGCTAGGTCACTAGTATTAAATTGGGTAACTAAACTGCAGTTGTTGCATTTTGAAAGTGCAGCAGAAAGAAAAAGGGCCCAATGTGAATCTGCAATGGGTTTGAAGTGGAGTTGGAGCTAATGAACGCATGGAAAAGTGATCGTTCATGCGTATCTGCCATAACCAAAGCAGCAAGATGGCTCTAGGGGACATCTGTTATTCGCATGGGAATGTTTCGGATTCGGGTTGATTTATTTCCTCAGGCTCTTAAACAACCATGGGCATGGTTCTCTGACCGCCGCTGCTGCGGTCCCTGCTGCCGTTCCTACTGATGCCTAATCCCGCTGCTGCCTGTTCCCGCTGCTGCCTGTTCCTGCTGCCGCTCCTGCTGCTGCCTGTCCCTGCTGCCTGCCGCTCCTACTACTACATATGCCGCTGCTGCTGTTCCTGCCGCTGCCGCTCCGCAGGCTCTCAGGCTGCACCTGTCTCTACGGCTCAGCTCTTTCAGACACGTATGTAACCTGGCTCACGGAGACAAGCGGCGCACGCTGGCGTGACACGTCTGCTGTTCGTATGAATCGCATTGTGGTGCTACTGCTCCTGCTAATGCTGCTTCTGCTGCTTCATACTGCTACCGCTACTGCTGCTACTGCTGCCGCTAATGCTGCTATTGCTGCCGCTGCTGCTTCATACTGCTACTGCTGCTGTGCTGCTGCTGCTTCTTTTACTTTGACACCTCTCTTCACTTCGCATCTCTTTTACTGAAACACTAAACAGCTTCAACTCTATTCTACTGCGGTGGCTTTGATACAGGATTTTGCTGTTATTATCTACGGATGCTGCAACCGCTGCTGCTGCTTCATACTGCTGCTACTGCTGCTGCTTCATACTGCTACTGCTGCTCCTGCTAATGCTGCTTCTGCTGCTTCATGCTGCTACCGTTACTGCTGCTACTGCTGCCGCTGCTGCTTCATACTGCATCTGCTGCCGTGCTGCTGCTGCTTCATGTACTTTGACATCTCTCTTCACTTCTTATCTCTTTTACTGAAACACTAAACAGCTACAACAATATTCTACTGCTCTGGCTTTGATACAAGTTTATTGCTGTTATTATCTACGGATGCTGCATCAGCTGCTGCTGCTGCTGCTTCATACTGCTACTGCTACTGCTGCTGCTTCATACGGCTACTGCTGCTACTACTGCTGCTTCATTTACTTTGCCATCTCTCTTCACTTGCATCTCTTTTACTGAAACACTGAACAGCTACAACAACATTTTACTGCGGTGGCTTAGATACAGAATTATTACTGTTATTTCTAAGGACGCTGCTGCCGCTACTGCTGCTGCCGCAACCCACTCTCTCAGAAGCTTATCCTGCTTCTAATGGATGCAGCCCGACTGAGTATGCCGCGCTGCGCTGGACTCGCACCTATGCTCCCAGGGTCGCTTCGGCGGTCGTGCTTCATCTCTCTACTTAATCTTCTGATCCATCAGATGCAGCTGGCCGAGTAGCTGCGCTGAGCCGTCAATCGGACTCCTAATCAAAGGCATCCATACCTGTGTTCTTCACTCTTCTGATCGCAGGCTCCCCATCACGCTGCCCATCCTAAGCGTCTCACCATTGCTCACTCAACCTTCATGCGGTCCGAGACACGGCTTTCCCGACCATCCTACTATCCTGATTATCTACTCTCCAACCCAAGATTCTAAGCGTAAGGGCGCCTGCAACATCAATGGCCCTCTCCGATATGTCTCTGCCCCTACAGGTCTCCGCTTCTACACGGACGCTGCCCCTTCCGTGGGTTTTGGGGGATTCTTCCAGGACCATTGGTTTGCCGAGCGTGGCCGCTACTTTCCACCGGAGCATCTCCTCTGCCCTACACGAGATATTCCCAGTGGTCGTGGCCTGCGCGCTGTGGAATCACACGTGGCAGAGAAAGAGGATCTCTGTCATGTGTGATAATCTCGACGTAGTGGAAGCATTACACAAAGGTCGCTCTTTTTCACCCAACATAATGTCCCCTGACCATTTCAACCTCCGTCTCAAACATTCAAAAATCAAAGGAGCCTGCAATATAGTAATAGCTCGCTCGGACACATCTCTCTGCCCCTACAAATCCTTTATGCGTTACACTCGCCTCCACTGCAAAAAGGAGATCTTAACGGACCTCTATTTCTCACTCCAGACATTCTTCCCATGACAGCAACCTGGTTCAGAGCTCGACTAAGATCCCTACTGCTCCTCTGTAAATTGTCTCCCCAGCTCTACACAGCTCACTCCTTCAGGATAGGCGCTGCCACGCGCGCGGCCTCGCTGGGGCTCCCCCACACCTCTCTGCAACAGCTGGGGCGCTGGTCCTCTTCGGCTTTCTCCACCTACATCAGGCCAGACGCGTCCGCTATCCTGGCTGCACAACGGCTACTGGCTTCCTCGTAAGCTCCCAGCAAAGCAATACGAAGCAAAGTAAGTGAACCAATAAGATTCTGGTGGCGGCACGCACTTCTTCAAAGATAACCCTGTTGCAGCGTCCGGTTGATCGTGATGCGAGCGCTCACGTCCCGGCGCTTAAAGATAACTCCACTGCAGCGTCTGGTACCGATCGTGATGCGAGCGCTCACGTCCCAGACAGCGTCCGGTTGATCGTGATGCGAGCGCTCACGTCCCGGCGCTCAAAGATAACTCTGCTACAGCGTCTGGTATCGATCGTGATGCGAGCGCTCACGTCCCGGCGCTTAAAGACAACTCTGCTACAGCGTCTGGTATCGATCGTGATGCGAGCGCTCACGTCCCAGACAGCGTCCGGTTGATCGTGAAGCGAGCGCTCACGTCCCGGCGCTTAAAGATAACTCTGCTACAGCGTCTGGTATCGATCGTGATGCGAGTGCTCACGTCCCAGACAGCGTCCGGTTGATCGTGATGCGAGCGCTCACGTCCCGGCGCTTAAAGATAACTCCACTGCAGCGTCTGGTATCAATCGTGATGCGAGCGCTCACGTCCCAGGCAGCGTCCGGTTGATCGTGATGCGAGCGCTCACGTCCCGGCGCTTAAAGATAACTCCACTGCAGCGTCTGGTACCGATCGTGATGCGAGTGCTCACGTCCCAGACAGCGTCCGGTTGATCGTGATGCGAGCGCTCACGTCCCGGCGCTCAAAGATAACTCTGCTACAGCGTCTGGTATCGATCGTGATGCGAGCGCTCACGTCCCAGGCAGCGTCCGGTTGATCGTGATGCGAGCGCTCACGTCCCGGCGCTCAAAGATAACTCTGCTACAGCGTCTGGTATCGATCGTGATGCGAGTGCTCACGTCCCAGGCAGCGTCCGGTTGATCGTGATGCGAGCGCTCACGTCCCGGCGCTTAAAGATAACTCCACTGCAGCGTCTGGTACCGATCGTGATGCGAGTGCTCACGTCCCAGACAGCGTCCGGTTGATCGTGATGCGAGCGCTCACGTCCCGGCGCTCAAAGACAACTCTGCTACAGTGTCTGGTATCGATCGTGATGCGAGCGCTCACGTCCCAGGCAGCGTCCGGTTGATCGTGAAGCGAGCGCTCACGTCCCGGCGCTTAAAGACAACTCTGCTACAGCGTCTGGTATCGATCGTGATGCGAGTGCTCACGTCCCAGGCAGCGTCCGGTTGATCGTGATGCGAGCGCTCACGTCCCGGCGCTTAAAGACAACTCCGCTACAGCGTCTGGTATCGATCGTGATGCGAGCGCTCACGTCCCAGGCAGCGTCCGGTTGATCGTGAAGCGAGCGCTCACGTCCCGGCGCGCAAAGATAACTCTGCCCGTTTTTGGGGATTATGCGCGCAAGCAAGCGCCGCACTCAACAGCATCTCTCCCGGGCCTAGGGTGCCAAACATACTCGATCAACAAACTTCTAACTGCATTTTCCCTCTTGGGTCTCTCCAAAGTGAAATGAAGCTCTTCGCGAAAGTTCACTGTGGTAGACCCGGCGCTGCTACAAGCCTGCTCATCCTCTACTCATTACACCAGCAAAACGCCCACATCTAATCCACCAATAACCACCAGGACAGCAAGTTAAAAGCCGGAGACGCCCACTTTCCCGGCCTTCTGAAGTTTGCAAAGCCTCCGCCGCCCCACCTCCTCCTTCTCTCATCGAAGCGTGCTTGCCTACTGCCTCTGCCGTCACCAGTGCCTAGGCCCCGGGGGGGGATTATGCGCGCAAGCAAGCGCCGCACTCAACAGCATCTCTCCCGGGCCTAGGGTGCCAAACATACTCGATCAACAAACTTCTAACTGCATTTTCCCTCTTGGGTCTCTCCAAAGTGAAATAACAATTGTAAACCGCTTTGAGACTCTGGTCTGTGAAAGGAGGTATATAAATAAAGCTTACTACTACTACTACTACTTACTACCCTACCCTACCCTACTCTACTCTACTCTACTCTACTCTACCCTACTCTACTCTACCCTACTCTACTCTACACTACTCTCCCCTATTGCTACCCACAAAATTAGCATCAATTTGGCTCCACATTCTCTCTCAAATATCCTGTTAGCAATAGCGCTAATCGGCTTCTTCCTCATTAAAGCTAACACTGTGCGACATCACACTCAGTCAGCCCACTCCTAACACATGGTCCCTGGTCTGTGGTCTGTGGTTCCAGGCCGGGTCCCAGCTGAACCTGGACTTCTGGAGCTCCGTCCTGTCCTCAGACCCTGTGGACCCGCTGGAGACGGAGCAGAAGGTGAAACAGACTGAAGATCAAAGAGTGTTTCAGAATGTGAAATATGAATAACAGCAGCGGTGATGATCCAGGATTCTGGATTCTTTAATCTGTGTTGGAGAATCGACAGCTTTGTAAAGTCCTCCGAGATGATTACTGTTGTGATTCAGGGCGATACACAAACAAATTTAATTGAATATTTTAGGTAGTAAACGTAAAGTAAAGGATTGGATGTGGTCAAACATCTCCATCTGCTTGTTAGCATCTGGGGTTAGCATCTGGGGTTAGCATCTGGGGTTAGCATCTGGGGTTAGCATCTGCTTGTTAGCATCTGGGGTTAGCATCTGGGGTTAGCACAGAGCTTGTACTCGGAGTGTGTGACATCACCATCGTGTTAGCCTTAATGAAGATTTAAATATGGGACATTTGTTCCGACAATTTCAGCTTTGAGCCTTAGCAGGGGGCAGATGTGTTGCTAAGACGGTTGCTATGGCAAGTTGGAGTTTTTTAACCCTGAATAACCCAGCTCGGCCTGGGTAGAACCAGGACCAGGAGGGACTTAAGAAGGACCTGGTACTGAGTCGATAAAAATGAGGCTTGCGATGACACCGAAGTCATTTCAAAGGCTCGAAACATTTTAAAAGAGATTTATTTATTATTTATTATTCTTGTGCGCAGCCCGCGGACTGTTCCGGCGGTAACCATGACGACGTCTTGGCTGTTGACGACGAGGTACTTTCTCGTGACGGTTTTCTGTTCCATTTGTGTTCGATCGACAACTTTTCTCACGTGTTATTGTTGGCTCCGCCTCGCCCCCTGCAGGCCGTGGAGAGACTGCGGCGGGAGGTGGAGCTCGCCATCGCCTCTCTCCACAACAAAACGCCGACCGAAGAGAACCACGGAGACCAGGACTATGTGGTGAGGGCCAGACCCCCTGGTCCAGACATGGGTTAAGGGGAAGAAAGTAGATGGATGCGCTTGGAATGAGAAACCATTGGCAGTTTTGCTTTAAGAAAGAAACACTCTCTCTAGTTTCTTTCTCCGGTCTCTCTGGTCTCACTCTGGTCTCTATTTCTGGTCTCTCTCTCCGGTCTCTTTTTTAGGTCTCTCTCTCTGGTCTCTCTCTGGTCTCTCTCTGGTCTCTCTCTGGACTCTCTCTGGTCTCTCTCTGGTCTCTCTCTGGTCTCTCTCTGGTCTCACTCTGGTCTCACTCTGGTCTCACTCTGGTCTCTCTCTGGTCTCACTCTGGTCTCTTTTTCTGGTCTCTTTTTCTGGTCTTTCTCTCCGGTCTCTCTCTCTGGACTCTCTCTGGTCTCTCTCTGGTCTCTCTCTGGTCTCTCTCTGGTCTCACTCTGGTCTCTCTCTGGTCTCACTCTGGTCTCACTCTGGTCTCACTCTGGTCTCACTCTCTGGTCTCACTCTCTGGTCTCACTCTGGTCTCTCTCTGGTCTCTCTTTGTGGTCTCTCTCTGTTCTCTCTCTGGTCTCTCTTTGTGGTCTCTCTCTGGTCTCTCTCTGGTCTCTCTCTCTCAATCAGACAAAGTAAAAACAAAGAAAACCAAGAGACAATGAGTTCATATAATAATTATACTGTCAATATTTAAAAGTAACAGTGAGTTTTCAGACTGAATATTATTTGTCCTTATTTACTGTTGATAACTGTTGATACCTGATAAACAACTGATAATAACGGATAACAACTGATAATAACGGATAATAGCGGATAATAACTGATAATAACGGATAATAGCGGATAATAACTTAAAATAACGGATAATAACTGATAATAACTGAAAATTACTGGTAATAACTGGTAATTACTGATAATAACTGCTTCACAGACAAACAAACTCTGAACTGAAACTGTCTGATTCTTTTCTCTCCATCTCTCCAGGACCTGCTCTTTCAGACATCAGAAGCCACGCCTCCTGCTTCCACAGAATCCAACCCCTTCTCTCTGGTCGGACCTCCGCTGTGTTCGTCGGGCCTCCTGGAGCCGTGCCAGGCCACTCCAGACCACGCTCCGCTCGATGAAAGCATCATCCTCAACTCGTCCTCGGAGTCTCTGGGATCAGAGGTGTCCGCGGCCGGTCTGGAGGCGCTGGCCGAGGCCTGGCTCATGGACTCTGCTGACGAGAGCACGGGTCTGGAAGGGGCGGAGCCGGAGCCGTCCACGCCGTCCTCGCTAGCTTACTTAGCTCTGCAGGCTTACGTCTTTCCCCTGACAATCTCCAACGAAGGCGGAGAAACGGTCGGAGCCGTGGCGGACGAACGCCAAAACGACCTCAAGGACTGGGCTGGGGTTGAAAGTGGTCTCAAGGTCGGTCCCGAGGGCGGTCCCGAGGGCGGTCCCGAGGGCGGTCCCGAGGGCGGTCCCGAGGGCGGTCCGAGCGAGGTTTGTGGACATCGAGAGACTGAAATGGACGCTAAGCTAAGCTCCGCGCCAAAGCAGGATCTTAAAAAGCAGGATATTATGTTAAAACTGGAGCTTGGTGATGAAAATCCAGCCACAAAACCAAAAGACAGTGGTGTGGCTGCGAACCAAGAGGCCGGGGACCGTTTAGAATCTGAGGCCGATCTAGAAAAGCCATTGTCAAAACAAGGAAAAATGCTTCGACAGATTGTGGAAATGGAACCGAGGCAACCGACAGACGTTGCTCCTGCTGCAGCTGACCATGAAGGGGAGGAGCTAACGGAGGCTCGGCGAGGTTTGAGACCAGAACGAGACCGAAGGAGGCCGGAAAGTCTCGAATGTCCAGAGGCAGAACCAGGTGTCGCTCCAGATACCAGCTCGAAACCAGACGGCAGTTCAAGAATAACAGATGTTCGGTCTGACTCGAAGTGGGAAGGAGAGCGGAATTTGAGTCCGAACAAGAGAGCGAGAGTCGGGAGCGGACGGTGTTCAGAGAGTCCGGCCAAAAAGACTAAACAAAGAAGCGGCGAGAAACTCTGTGGAGAGAAACTGTTCTGTATGAAGACGAGATCGGGAACTCGCAGAGAGACGGGTGATGTCGCACATAAAACAGACTCTCAGAATGTCAAGAAGAGATAAAGTCAGACTGCGTCGGGAGCGTCCTGTCGAGGAAGTTACCGGAGAAAATATTGGGATTTTGTGACGAAAAAGACGACAGAAGTTTGTCTAAAATAAATCTGTTTTATTTCACATTTTTAACATGAAGTTGTTTCCCTTTAAAATCCATGTACGTATACTTAAGTTAACATGGTCTCTCTCTCTGGTCTCTCTCTCTGATCTCTCTCTTGTCTCTCTCTCTGGTCTCTCTCTCTTGTCTCTCTCTCTGGTCTCTCTCTCTTGTCTCTCTCTCTGGTCTCTCTCTCTGGTCTCTCTCTCTTGTCTCTCTCTCTGGTCTCTCTCTCTGGTCTCTCTCTGGTCTCTCTCTCTGGTCTCTCTGGTCTCTCTCTCTGGTCTCTCTCTCTTGTCTCTCTCTCTTGTCTCTCTCTCTGGTCTCTCTCTCTGGTCTCTCTGGTCTCTCTCTCTGGTCTCTCTCTCTTGTCTCTCTCTCTTGTCTCTCTCTCTGGTCTCTCTCTGGTCTCTCTCTTGTCTCTCTCTCTTGTCTCTCTCTCTTGTCTCTCTCTCTGGTCTCTCTCTCTGGTCTCTCTCTCTGGTCTCTCTCTCTTGTCTCTCTCTCTTGTCTCTCTCTCTCTGGTCTCTCTCTCTGGTCTCTCTCTCTGGTCTCTCTCTCTGGTCTCTCTCTTGTCTCTCTCTCTTGTCTCTCTCTCTTGTCTCTCTCTCTGGTCTCTCTCTCTGGTCTCTCTCTCTTGTCTCTCTCTCTTGTCTCTCTCTCTGGTCTCTCTCTCTGGTCTCTCTCTCTGGTCTCTCTCTCTGGTCTCTCTGGTCTCTCTCTCTGGTCTCTCTGGTCTCTCTCTCTGGTCTCTCTCTCTTGTCTCTCTCTCTGGTCTCTCTCTCTGGTCTCTCTGGTCTCTCTCTCTTGTCTCTCTCTCTGGTCTCTCTCTCTGGTCTCTCTCTCTTGTCTCTCTCTCTTGTCTCTCTCTCTGGTCTCTCTCTCTGGTCTCTCTCTGGTCTCTCTCTCTGGTCTCTCTCTGATCTCTCTCTCTCTCTCTGGTCTCTCTCTGGAGGGAGGGGTGGGGGAGGGAAGGGTTACAAATATGCACAAGAAGTTTTTTCTGTGGATGAAAACATGGATTATTCTGGAGGAAAAGTGAGAGAAGGTGAAGTTAAAAAAGCAAAAATCTTTTTGTTTTGTGAAATTGAATGTTGTCGTATTGAACTAACATCATGTTCTGCTCTCTCCCTCTTCTTTCCCTTTCGCTCGCTGTCTCTCTCTTTCCGTCAATGTCTCTAACTCGGTCCTGCCATTCCCCCTCTCCCTGAGTCCCAGCAGGAGGCAAGTCCCTGTGCTCCTCAGAGTCCCAGCAGGAGGCCAGTCCCTGTGCTCCTCCGAGCCCCAGCAGGAGGCCAGTCCCTGTGCTCCTCAGAGTCCCAGCAGAAGGCCAGTCCCTGTGCTCCTCAGAGTCCCAGCAGGAGGCCAGTCCCTGTGCTCCTCAGAGTCCCAGCCGAAGGCCAGTCCCTGTGCTCCTCAGAGTCCCAGCAGGAGGCCAGTCCCTGTGCTCCTCAGAGTCCCAGCAGGAGGCCAGTCCCTGTGCTCCTCAGAGTCCCAGCAGGAGGCCAGTCCCTGTGCTCCTCCGAGCCCCAGCAGGAGGCCAGTCCCTGTGCTCCTCAGAGTCCCAGCAGATGGCCAGTCCCTGTGCTCCTCAGAGTCCCAGCAGGAGGCAAGTCCCTGTGCTCCTCAGAGTCCCAGCAGGAGGCAAGTCCCTGTGCTCCTCAGAGTCCCAGCAGGAGGCCAGTCCCTGTGCTCCTCAGAGTCCCAGCAGGAGGCCAGTCCCTGTGCTCCTCAGAGTCCCAGCAGGAGGCCAGTCCCTGTGCTCCTCAGAGTCCCAGCAGGAGGCCAGTCCCTGTGCTCCTCAGAGTCCCAGCAGGAGGCAAGTCCCTGTGCTCCTCAGAGTCCCAGCAGGAGGCCAGTCCCTGTGCTCCTCAGAGTCCCAGCAGGAGGCCAGTCCCTGTGCTCCTCAGAGTCCCAGCAGGAGGCCAGTCCCTGTGCTCCTCAGAGTCCCAGCAGGAGGCCAGTCCCTGTGCTCCTCAGAGTCCCAGCAGAAGGCCAGTCCCTGTGCTCCTCAGAGTCCCAGCAGGAGGCAAGTCCCTGTGCTCCTCAGAGTCCCAGCAGGAGGCCAGTCCCTGTGCTCCTCAGAGTCCCAGCAGAAGGCCAGTCCCTGTGCTCCTCAGAGTCCCAGCAGGAGGCCAGTCGCTGTGCTCCTCAGAGTCCCAGCAGGAGGCCGGTCCCTGTGCTCCTCAGAGTCCCAGCAGGAGGCCGGTCCCTGTGCTCCTCAGAGTCCCAGCAGGAGGCCGGTCCCTGTGCTCCTCAGAGTCCCAGCAGGAGGCCGGTCCCTGTGCTCCTCAGAGTCCCAGCAGGAGGCCAGTCCCTGTGCTCCTCAGAGTCCCAGCAGGAGGCCAGTCCCTGTGCTCCTCAGAGTCCCAGCAGGAGGCCAGTCCCTGTGCTCCTCAGAGTCCCAGCAGGAGGCCAGTCCCTGTGCTCCTCAGAGTCCCAGCAGGAGGCCAGTCCCTGTGCTCCTCAGAGTCCCAGCAGGAGGCCAGTCCCTGTGCTCCTCAGAGCCCCAGCAGGAGGCCAGTCCCTGTGCTCCTCAGAGTCCCAGCAGAAGGCCAGTCCCTGTGCTCCTCAGAGTCCCAGCAGGAGGCAAGTCCCTGTGCTCCTCAGAGTCCCAGTAGTAGTATGAACTATCCAAAGGTTCATCAGTGTGTCTGATTAAGATGTAGTTAATGCGCTCACTTTGTCCCTCGGCTCCTGGAGGATCCGTGGTCATAGCTGCCCAGGGCAAAGAGCCTCACAAGAGCCTGCCACACTCTCCGTCTGAACATTGTGGACATAATTCAACTGATCCTGGAAAATGCAGCAGCATTTTAGGTCACAGCAGCTGAGGTGGAGTAGCCTCTGGGTGGAGCAGGTCACAGCAGCAGGTGGAGTAGCCTCTGGGTGGAGCAGGTCACAGCAGAGGTGGAGTAGCCTCTGGGTGGAGCAGGTCACAGCAGCAGGTGGTGTAGCCTCTGGGTGGAGCAGGACGGGTCACAGCAGCAGAGGTGGAGTAGCCTCTGGGTGGAGCAGGTCGCAGCAGCAGGTGGATTAGCCTCTGGGTGGAGCAGGTCACAGCAGCAGGTGGAGTAGCCTCTGGGTGGAGCAGGTCACAGCAGCAGAGGTGGAGTAGCCTCTGGGTGGAGCAGGTCACAGCAGCAGGTGGAGTAGCCTCTGGGTGGAGCAGGTCACAGCAGCAGGTGGAGTAGCCTCTGGGTGGAGCAGGTCACAGCAGCAGGTGGAGTAGCCTCTGGGTGGAGCAGGTCACAGCAGCAGGTGGTGTAGCCTCTGGGTGGAGCAGGACGGGTCACAGCAGCAGAGGTGGAGTAGCCTCTGGGTGGAGCAGGTCGCAGCAGCAGGTGGATTAGCCTCTGGGTGGAGCAGGTCACAGCAGCAGGTGGAGTAGCCTCTGGGTGGAGCAGGTCACAGCAGCAGAGGTGGAGTAGCCTCTGGGTGGAGCAGGTCACAGCAGCAGGTGGAGTAGCCTCTGGGTGGAGCAGGTCACAGCAGCAGGTGGAGTAGCCTCTGGGTGGAGCAGGTCACAGCAGCAGGTGGAGTAGCCTCTGGGTGGAGCAGGTCACAGCAGCAGGTGGTGTAGCCTCTGGGTGGAGCAGGACGGGTCACAGCAGCAGAGGTGGAGTAGCCTCTGGGTGGAGCAGGTCGCAGCAGCAGGTGGATTAGCCTCTGGGTGGAGCAGGTCACAGCAGCAGGTGGAGTAGCCTCTGGGTGGAGCAGGTCACAGCAGCAGAGGTGGAGTAGCCTCTGGGTGGAGCAGGTCACAGCAGCAGGTGGAGTAGCCTCTGGGTGGAGCAGGTCACAGCAGCAGGTGGAGTAGCCTCTGGGTGGAGCAGGTCACAGCAGCAGGTGGAGTAGCCTCTGGGTTCAGACCATTTGCTCTGGTCCAAAGGCAGACGCTGAATTCTTTGATTTGCAGTTTCCTTAAAGACGGACTAACTTTCTCCTGGTTCAATAAAAGATATTGTGTTTTTGTGTCGGTTCCAAACTTTAAAGGTGAACAATCAGGTTTATATAGTGACCCTAACCACGGTTATATATGTGTGTGTTGTAATAATAGTGTGTGGATGTATTGTAATAATAGTGTGTGGATGTATTGTGTGCATTATCAGATTTCTGGATTTGATAAGCCTAATTTCTTAAATAGCCTTTTTTATAATCCAATAATTAAACCTTAGAACAGATGGACTTACTTAGACCTTGGACAGTTTCATTTGGATTGGCCCAGTAAAGTCTGATTTAGCAACATGTACAGCTTCCATCCTCCTAAAATGTCACGTGAATGAATGCAACCATTTTTATTCACTCTGATGTTGAAGTGAATAATATCAAATTGATCGTTTAATAATAATAATACTTTGGCCCTCTGTGTGGGCAGTAGCTCACGAGCACCACCAGGGGGAGACATTACTACAACAGTAAAACCCATAGATCTCTATTTTAACAAAGACCTGTCAGAACAGCGTCGACATCTTTCATTTTAATATCTTATTTTGAAAAACCGAGGATGTGGATGTGAGGAAGTGTTCAGGAGCGAAGGAGGAGGGTCTGAAGGTGTTCAACTCTGACAGATGATCAGACTCTGCTGTTCATGTTCGAACCCTTTGTTCTAACCCTTTGTTCTAACCCTTTGTTCTTACCTTTTGTTCTTACCCTTTGTTCTAACCTTTGTTCTTACCCTTTGTTCTAACCCTTTGTTCTAACCTTTGTTCTAACCCTTTGTTCTTACCCTTTGTTCTAACCCTTTGTTCTAACCCTTTTTTCTAACCTTTGTTCTTACCCTTTGTTCTTACCCTTTGTTCTAACCCTTTGTTCTTACCCTTTGTTCTTACCCTTTGTTCTTACCCTTTGTTTTAACCCTTTGTTCTTACCCTTTGTTCTAACCCTTTGTTCTAACCCTTTGTTCTTACCCTTT